CAAGTCCTGTTGTGATCCCTAGGACACCACACACACACATGCACACACACACATGTGTATACAACTGTACGTGCAAGTGTGTGCGTGCCAGGTAATAGCTAAGTTCACAGCCCACAGCCCGGGGTCCCGTTTCTCATCCAGTTAACATCTCTTAGTAAGCCCTGTTCCAAGCGCATCACGAAAAGTTCCCAAGGATTATTGCCTGATCTGTGTTAGGATCGTCGACAGGAGCTGGGTCCTCACTATGGCAGAGGGAAGGACTTGGGGCATCTTTATATCTGTATTTATATTCTGTGTCTCCAGCCCAGTAGGCAAAGCTACTAACAGTAATGGTGTCCAAGTTTCAGAAATATATAATGGCTCCGTTTCTGGCTGGTAAGTTTAGAAAATAATTGATTTCAGAAATTAGGCCAGCCTGTGCACCTGGCATGGAGAGTAGGGCACTGGGTGAGGAATACCCCTTCTCTCCTGTCTGACAACGACCAAAGAAGGCTTGGGGCCTTAGGCAGCTTGTCACAGAGCAGGAGCCCTCCAGGTGAGTATGTTATTAAATCTGCAAATTAGAAGGTGTTCATTGTGAAACAGTCAAACCCTTTCTTTTCTTTTTTTTTTTTTTTTAATTTTTTTAATGTTTATTTATTATCAAGAGACAGAGAGAGACAGAGCATGAGCATAGGAGGGGCAGAGAAAGAGAGAGGCATAGAATCCAAAGCAGGCTCCAGGCTCTGAGCTGTCAGCACAGAGCCCGACGCGGGGCTCGAACTCACGAACTGCGAGATCATGGCCTGAGCCGAAGTCAGACGCTTAACCGACTGAGCCACCCAGGCGTCCCTCAAACCCTTTCTTTTTAAGGCAGAGAGCATTTTAAGCTTTCTAGGATAGAAAAGAAATTGATAAAAGTAATAATAGAAGCCAAGAATTTCTAAAAACAAGATTATGAATGTCAACCAAAACACAGGAACCAGACTGCAGAGGTGCTAACACTTTCCTTTGATCCTGCCGGTGGTCACAGAGCCTGCAGCACAGAGAGTGTCTCCTAGTGGCCTGGGAATGAGAAGAGGGAGGAGACCACCCTGCGGTGTACCTGCCCTCTGGTTATGAGCAGAGCCCCGTGCAGCAGGCTCTAGAGAGAGGCAGAGTGGTTCCGACCAGACAAGACGAGCAGGAAGGGAGTGAGGGGGCCGAACAAGTAAGGGTTCCCAGAAGGGCTGGAGTGAAGGGTCCAGGCCTTTCCCAGCTTGGGCAGTCGTGGCCCAGGGCCGGAAGGCCAGAGGCTTGAGTAGCGGGATGGGGTTTCTTCCAATGCACATCCCCTTCCTCTGGGCCCGGGTTGATAAGGACATTCCAGAGGGCCAGGCGACTCTCTCTATCCCACACCTCGGTCCCTCCCCCGGCAGGGCTAGAGCGTTCGGTTTGGGGGTTACTTCATTACCCTCTTTGTTGATTTTGCACGTCCCTCCCGGGTCTTGGGTCTGGCTGAGAGTATTTTCTACCTTATAGTAGATAGAGAAACCCTTAAGACTTCAAAAAAATAATAATAACAAAAAATAGAGGTACAGAGGGGGAAAAATCCTTTTCTCGGTGATTAGTTGTAGAAAATTTATAGGCTGAGTTTCTGATGTAATAAAATCCTAACGATCACTTTTTTGAATCACTAAGCCTTTCCACGTGCGTACGCCGTTATTTTAGGCTCGGGAAAGTAAGGGTCATTGGACAGAACACTGGTGGACGGAGGAAGGAGGCATTTGCCTGTGAGACCCCGTAGGAGCCAAGGAAGGGAGGGGCAAGCCGTAGGATCTGGGGCACCAATAAATGGGCCGTTAAGGGAAGAAGGCTGGGTCACACCGGACAGCCTTGTTTGAACATCAGATTTAGATGTTTCTTTTTTTATTTGTCCGAACTCAGAAAAAGTGACCTTATGAGGTCTAGTTTTGACTGTTTACTTCTCTTTTTTTTTTTTTTAAGTACATCTGGAAAATTCAGAGCTTGTGGACTCCTGTTCTGCTATCAGATGAGATCATTGGAAATACACACTTTTCATCTCATATGCTCCCTTTTCCAAAGACATTTTCTCTCACTAACACAACTTCGCTTTTAGGGGCGCCCGGGTGTCCAACTCTTGGTTTCCGCTTGGGTCGTGATTTCCCGCTTTGTGGGTTCGGGCCCCGGGTCGGGATTCTCTCTCTCCCTCTCTCTCCGCCCCATCCCCTGCTTGCTCTCTCTCTGTCTCTCTCGAGGGTAAATAAATAAACTTGGAAAAAATTGTTTAGGAAACTTCCCTTTTGAGAATGTCACTTGGAGGTGAAGTCATTTGGCCGCTTCACGGCGGCCTCGGAGTGTTTTTAAAATTGCCCCCCACCAAGTAAGCAGCACTTGTTAGCTCCCAGATGCGTAGCACTGAGCGTTTGGAAAGGGTTGGATCCAGACGGAAAAAGGGGTGCTTACCGGTCACATGGTTCTCCGAAGGAGGCAGAAGCCCCCGAGGTCTGAGACCACCCGCAGCCTCCTCTCTCCGAGAGCTGCTTCCCTTCCCCGGACAGGGCTGGCGTTTCTCAGGTGATGTGCACGGAGCCTTCCTCGAGGACCCGGCGTCTGCCCTGCCCGAAGGGAGCCCTGCGCCCACGGCCTGGTGGCCCGGGTCACACTGCGGCTTCCCCCTCGGGACCGCTGGCTCGGGGGTGGGGGGGGGGGCGGGGCCCACCCGGGCCCGGGGTCAGATCCACGCTCTGCGGGGCGTGACCTCCTCGTCCTCTTCACCACTGCCCCCCCCCCCCCGCCCCCTGCCGGCTGCCACTATGTTCCCTGAGCCGCGCTCCCGCCAGAGCCGTCGAGCTGGATTTTGTTTCTTTCTTCTCTCTCCCTCTTGGTGTTGTCGGAGGGGCCTCGGCGCAGCGGGCCTTTACGTCCCGGGCTTTGTGGCGTCTTGAGCAAGTCAGCCCCTTGGCAACCCGCCTCCCACACGAACAGACAGGTGCCCCGGGCGTCCCCAGGCTTGGGGATGGATTCAAGCGGCCGTCACTAGCGCACTCGAGATTATTACCTCCTTCTGTGACTCAACCAACCGTGTCTGCTGCCTTCCTTTCACGGTATGTTTCCCTCCCAGAAGGTTGTTCAGAATCCCCTACAGATGGGGGCGGGGGGGGGGGGGGATGGCCAGCCCCTGGCAGCTGCGGGCCGGCCCGGACAAGCAGCTTTGAGTAGTGGTCTCTCCCCAGCTTGGCCGTGCGTGCTAGAATGTACGGTGGTCATACGTGCACCCTGGGCATCTTTCTAGAAACCTCTCCCACGGAAGCATCACACAAGTGCGCAGAGGTATCCGCACGGGGCCGTGTGGAACGGCCCCCACCGGGAAGGCTCCGAACGTCCATCCGGAAAGAGCTGCCGGCTCCGCGGCTGGTTGAGGGCTGGAAGCTCCTGAAGGGTACGAAACCCCAAGATGCTATACTTTGCCTGAATCCGTTTTTACCACATATTTAAAACGTGCGTGTACGTCGTTATCATGCGCTCCATAAAAAAACCGGAGACCTGGCTACGGACCTGTGAAATTTCTTATCGCCGGGGGCGTAATTAACAGAGCGGTTTCCTTTCTGCATTGTTTTTCTGTAAAGTTTTTCCTTTGCAAATCCAGCGTGTAGTACTTTGATGATCAGAAAAAGGCGATTCCCTGGGATGGAAAAGCTAACAAAGGGGTCCCGCACCGCCGCCTGGTTACCGAGGGCCCGAGGGGCTCTGCGTCCGCAGTGAGGCGGGTGGTGGTGGGTGGGGACGTGCTTGGT